CTCTATTCTCTAGGTGTCCCTGAAACCTCTTAGGAACACGTGTGCTTATGATCTATGAGCAGACACATCCATGGATTGAGTACACATAGTTATATAGACTGTAGAAACATGTCCAAAGGCAGAGATCAGAATGCAAATGTAAAAAAAGCAAGGCATTGGCAAAGTCATTTATGGGCTCGTGATTGTGTTGTAAAGGATGATTCTTCACTAGCTTAAGTGAGATAAAAAGTGTCGCTGCAGTAACACATGGGTGATGGTCGTGCTGTCTGTTTTCCACCACACACACCTGATAAGTGTGTTCGTACTTGTCGTACACTCCCGTGGGGCTGCCCAGAATTAGATAACGCCTCTGCCCAGTTTTTTTCATGGAAAATTAAAGCAATTAATGAATCACTTATTTTCAGCATTTACGAAAGCATTTTATAGGTAGTTAGGTGGTTAAACTTAGCCATTTACCTATCTTAAAAAGAAAGGCTATATTTCAAATATTTACATTAAATTCAACAAATTTACTATGCTCTGCTGGTGCTGTCCAATACAGTAGCTACTTGCCACATGTGTGTATTAAAATTTAAAATTCAGTTCCTTGGCCACTGTAGCCAGCTACCAATTAGATAATGCAGGCTATAGAACATTCCCACAGTTATAGAAAGTTCGATTGGACAGGGCTGCTAGATAGTAGGATACATTGAAGTTGCAGTGATAACCAGAACTTTCTAGATACCTGTCCTTGTGGGCATATAGTCCTGCAGAGCAGACAGCCCCTTAGAAAGCCTTCCCAGGCTGGGGGTCAGAAAGGGACAGAGGATAACAGGAAGGTATGGAAGGGGGGAATCTACCCAAGGGTGGGTGGTCAGGAGAATGAAGCCAAAGAGAACTCCATCTATGTGAATAACGAACCAATTTAAAAAACACATTAAAGTTTTTAAAAGTAAGTTATTTTCTCACCTTTCTATAATTAATCAGTATGATGTTTAAAATATTATATTATTGGAGAATAAATGAATAAACTTTATTATTTTTTTAATTTTAATTGTTGTTCAAGTACAGTTTTCTGCCTTTTACTCCCATCCCAACCCACCCACCCATCCCTCCCCTCTCCCTCCCATTTCCACCCCCTCTAGTTTTGTCCATGTGTCTTTTATACTTGTTCTTGTAAACCCTTCCCTTTTTCCCCTGAAATTCCCTCCCCTCTCCCCTCTGGACACTGTTAGACTGTTCTCTATTTCAGTGTCTTTGGTTATATTTTGCTTGTTTGATTGTTTTGTTGTTTAGGTTCCTGTTAAAGGTGAGATCATGTGGTATTTGTCTTTCACCACCTGGCTTATTTCACTCAGCATAATGCTTTCCAGTTCCATTTATGCTGATGCAAAAGGTAGGAGCTCCTTCTTTCTCTCTGCTGCATAGAATTCCATTGTGTAAATGTACCATAGTTTTTTGAACCATTCATTTACTGATGGGCACCTAGGTTGCTTCCAGCACTTGGCTGTTGTAAATTGTGCTGCTATAAATATTGGGATGCATAGGTTCTTTTGGATTGGTGTTTCAGTGTTCTTAGGATATAATCCTAGCAGTGGAATTGCCATGTCAAAAAACAAATCTATTTTTAGTTTTCTGAGAAAAGTCCATACTGTTTTCCATAGTGGTTGTACCGGTCTGCAATCCCACCAACAGTGAACTAGGGTCCCCTTTTCCCCACAACCTCTCCAACACTTGTCGTTTGTTGCTTTGTTTATGATGGCCATTCTGACCGGTGTAAAGTGGTAACTCGTTGTGGTTTTAATTTGCCTCTCTCTGATAGCTAGTGATATTGAGCATCTTTTCATGTGTCTCTGGATCCTCTGTATGTCCTCCTTGGAGAAGTGTCTGTTCAAGTCCTTCACCCACTTTTTAATTGGGTTACTTGTATTTTTAGAGTGGAGTTGTGTAAGTTCTTTGTATATTTTGGAGATTAAACCCTTGTCTGAAGTATTATTGGCAAATATGTTTTCCCATACAGTTGGTTGTCTTTTTAATTTAATACTGTTTTCTTTAGCCGTGCAGAAGCTTTTTATTTTGATGAGATCCCATTTGTTTAGTCTTTCCTTTATGTCCCTTGCTCTAGGGGACATATCAGTAAAAGTGTTGCTGCATGAAATACCTGAGATTTTCCTGCCAATGTTCTCCTCTAGGACTTTAATGGTGTCACTGCTTATATTTAAGTCTTTTATCCCCCTTGAATTTATTTTGGTGTATGGTGTAAGTTGGTGCTCGAGTTGCATTTTTTTGCACATAGCTGTCCAGTTCTCCCAACAGCATTTGTTGAAGAGGCTATTTTTACTTTATTTTATGTTGCTGCCCCCTTTGTCAAATATTAATTGACCATAGAGACTTGAATTTATTTCTGGGCTCTCTGTTCTGTTCCACTGGTCCATGTGTCTGTTTTTATGCCAGTACCAGGCTGTTTTGATTACAGTGGCCTTGTAATACAGTTTGGTATCAGATATTGTGATCTTTCCTACTTTGTTCTTCTTTCTCAAAATTGCAGCGCCTATTCAGAGTCATTTGTGGTTCCATGTAAGTTTTTGAAGTGTTTGTTCTATGTCTGTGAAATATGCCATTGGTACTTTAATAGGTATTGCATTGAATCTGTAAATTGCTTTGGGTAGTAAGGACATTTTGATGATGTTAATTCTTCCAATCCATGAACACAGTGTATGTTTCCATTTGTTTGTGTCTTTCTTCATTTTTTTCTTCAGTATTATATAGCTTTCTGCATACAGGTCTTTTACCTCTTTGGTTAGGTTTATTCCTAGGTATTTTATTTTTCTTTTTGCCATATCAAATGAGATTTTTTTCTTGATGTCTGCTTCTGCTGTTTCATTGTTGGTATACAAAAATGCCTTTGATTTCTGGATATTGACTTTGTATCCCACTGTTTTGCCAAATTCATTTATTAGGTTGAGCAGTTTTTGGGTGGAGTCTATAGGATTTTCTATGTACACTATTGTGTCATCTGCAAACAATGACAGTTTTGTTTTCTCCTTTCCGATTTGGATTCCTTTTATTTCCTCCTTTCTGATTTGGATTCCTTTTATTTCCTTTTCTTGTCGGATCACTGTGGCTAAAACTTCCAATACTGTATTGGATAGAAGTGGTGAAAGTGGACAACCATGTCTTATTCCTGATCTTAGTGGGAAAGCTTTTAGTTTTTTGCCCATTGAGTATGATGTTGGCCGTAGGTCTCTCATATATGGCCTTTATTATATTGAGGAATGCTCCCTCTATTCCCACTTTGCTGAGTGTTTTTATCCTAAATGGGTGCTGTACCTTATCAAATGCTTCTTCTGCATCTATTGATATGATCATGTGGTTTTTGTCTTTGCTTTTGTTTATGTGGTGTATTACATTTACTGATTTTGGAATGTTGAACCATCCTTGCATCCCTGGAATGAATCCCACTTGCTCATGGTGTATGATCTTTTTAATATATTGTTGGATGTGGTTTGCTAATATTTTGTTGAGGATTTTAGTGTCTATGTTCATCAGCAATATTGGCCTGAGGTTTTCTTTCTTTGTTGTGTGTTCATCTGGTTTTGAGATGAGGATGATACTGGCTTCATAAAAAGAGTTTGGGAGTCTTCATCATTTTGGATTTTTTGGAATAGTCTGTGAAGAATAGGGGTTAGTGCTTCCTTAAATGCTTTGTAGAATTCTCCTGTGAAACCATCTGGTCCAGGGCTTTTGTGTGTCACGAGTTGTTTTTTTTTTTTACTGCTTCAATTTCTTCTGCTGTTATTGGTCTGAACTTAAATAAAATTTATTTTATTATTAAAATGTTTACTGTGATAAATCTCAAAAGAAGCCAGTGCGAAATATACATGCAGTATGATTCCATTCACTTCAAATTCTAGAACAGGCAAAACTCGGCTTCGATGATAGAAATCAGAGCTGGAGTTGCCTGGAATGGGGGCGGGAGAGTGGGCAGGAGCCCGGACGAGCTACCAAGATTCTTGAGGCTGCCTTCTGGGATGCGGAGGCTGTTCATCAACAGATGCATTGGTTACAGGAGTGTATGCATTTCCCACTACTCATGGAACTGTATAATTAAGATCAACACATTTCCTGGAGTACAAATTTTTTCTCAAGAATTCATTACGTAGCCCTGGCTCAGTAGCTTAGTTGGTGAGAGTGTGGTCCTATACACCAAAACCTTGTGGGCTTGACTCTGGCTCGATCTCGGGTTGGCCCTCAATCTGGCTTTCATAATCCTTGTGTTATCACTGGAAGGAAGATTCCTGACATCTTTCCTCATCTTGGGCCATGTGGATAGGTCTTCAAGTAACATCATTTTATTCCTCATGGTTTCATTATGATGTTGAGGAGATGCCATAGGAACTTAACTCTTGCTTATATCAATTAGCCCTTGGTAAAATTGTTTTAGTTATACATCGACTCCTATAAAGGTGCAGTACCTATCGATAACATTAAGTGACTTACTGTAAATAATAATTGCTTCTGCTTTTCTAGTTTTTTTACATTTTCTTTCTTATCAAAACTGGACGAGCTGGAAGGATCTTTCCCAGAATGTGAAGAATGGTGTTATTTCGGGGTGGGGAGATATGAGGTGAATTTTACTTCTTATTCTTCTTCACTGTATTGTTTGACTCTACTAACAAGGACCAAGTATCTTTTTTTTTGATACCCTGAAACACAACAGCTCATCTTGGCTGGTTCTGGAGAGTGCATGTCTCCATGGGTGCTATCTAGTCATTTGAAAACTTTAGGGGTTTATACCATGGGTAGTAATGCATTTCCTTCCAAGCCGCAGGCTCTGTGGGCGATGGACAGCCATGGGGTCTTTGTAAATGGATAATTTCATGCCTTGTCTGTCTCCCCCACGCTGCTCCTGTTCAATCTCTCTGTCGTCTGGGGGCAGCATGGAGTAGATTTTGGGGTGCTTGAAAGTGTTTTCCAACTGTCTGCGCTTCTCACCTGCCTCTTCCACCCTGTGCTCACAGATTCTTACCTGACCCTGGATGAACCCATGAATAACATCACCACATCCCTGGGGCAGACGGCTGAACTGCACTGCAAAGTCTCTGGGAACCCGCCTCCCACCATCCGCTGGTTCAAAAATGACGCGCCCGTGGTCCAGGAGCCCCGGAGGATCTCTTTTCGGGCAACCAACTACGGCTCTCGGCTGCGGATTAGAAATCTGGACACCACAGACACGGGCTACTTCCAGTGCGTGGCGACCAACGGCAAGAAGGTGGTTTCTACCACTGGAGTCTTGTTTGTCAAGTTCGGTAAGCAGCCTCCTACCGGGAAAGGCCTTTGGCCCTCAGCCTCCACGGGGGTGGGGTGGGAGGGAGGAAGCCCATACTGAGACTGCGCTATGTGCCCAGCAACCCTAAGGCTGGCACAGTGGCACACATTTTACAAATAAGAAACCCAAGGAAGGCCCAGTAGCTGCCTACCATGCTCAGGGTTGCCCAGCTAAGTAACCAACAGAGCAGGCATGCAGTCCGGGTCTGTCTGATCCCAGAGCCCCTGCCGCAAACCCCCACGCCAGTGAGAGGGAAGTTGGACAGTTACAGCACGCATGCCCCGTTTCTGTCCCGCTGCCATCAGAGACCCCTGCTGTTGCAGTCAGTGTCCTGGTGCAGTCACTTGGCCTCCCACTGGAAACTCACTGCATCCTCTAAGGACCCCATCCCTCTGACTCATTTTTAGCACTTGAATTAGCATCTTTTTCAGGCCCCGAACTGCAGGATACGGTCAAGTTCTCACTGGTATGCCTTTTTGTAGAGGTGGTTGCTTCCCAGAAAATAATAAATCCCAGAAAAATAAGTAACACCTCAGGGGGTTGAGAACTTTAATCGGTGATGGTTTGACTGAACCCATGCCATTCAGTAATCCAGGCTGACTGTTCCCTTTGTTTTTCTTTCATTCCTTCAGGGCCCCCTCCCACTGCAAGTCCAGGGTCCTCGTAAGTACTTGTCTCTTCTTTCTTGTCATTTCTAAGTGTTTCTCCAGAGAGTTTGGGGGAAAAGGCAATGTCCACTGCTTGGACCAAAGCACAGTGTTACCAGATTTCATTCAGTAACATTTCATTTTATTTTGCTTTTGTCATTTCATTTCATAACATTTCATTTCATTTTGCTTTTTCCCTGATACAAAGATTCACAGGAGACCAGTACTGCCATAATCTCAGGTGTGGTGATGCTGATTCTAAATGACCAAAGCAAAGGTCTACTTGCATTTACTGTTTGAAGATTAATCTAACATTATTTACAATAATAAATATGATGAAATCAATAAAATACAGTGCTGTCTTAAGAACTTGAACTCTGGCCTTCAGCTTAGCAGGGTCTATTTCACGTTTCTGCAAGTGTGTCTGGTGGTTTAGTCATTGACCAGGTCAGCAATTAGGTGATCGTTTCATTTTTATTCCCTTTAAGAACTCAGAGGCAGGAGTTCTGACTCACATAGGAGAAGGTGGCCCTGCGACTGGGTGAAGAATTATACAGTTTGGTTCATTTTGAGTCCCTCGTTGATGGCGTTTAAAGGTCCGATCTTTTTCATTAACATTAGTTATTGATTCATTGGTCTTTTTGTCTGGCTAAGGGATTCTCTTTTTTTTTTTTTTTTTGCTCCAGAGTGTCCACTTGGGTTATTTTTTTTATATGTATTTTTATTTTGGTGAGGGAGACCCATTTGTTAAAGCTCTTGGTCCTCCGGAAAATATATTTTATATTTTGTACACTTCTGAAATAGAATTCCCTGGGCTCTGCCATGAGAACATCAAAACCTCTGACCTAGACGGTACCCGTGGCGGACGTAACGGCACTTTATTTGCACTAATCCCCTGTGTGGCACCAATCACAGCGTGGGATGGTTTTACTATGTTTCATGGGCCCAGAGGCCCAGAGGCCCTCAATCTCATTAATAAAATCGGTAATGGGCAAAACTAAACATTGGCCATCAGCCACACTGTTCTATTTCGTCAGCTGGTTAGAGGCAACTGTAAAAGAAACCTTTACAATTTACCCAAGTGCTAATTGCATTCTACTTGCCCACGTAGAACATGCCGACTGATCTAAAACAGGTCATAAGTTTGATCACTCTGCCTGGCATTTCTTGAAGTTAATCTTTTTTTTAATTTCACAATTGGTTGATATGCGGAATCCTTTTGAAGTCTTATTTAAACAAAGATTACAACTTCTGTTACTTGCTGTAAATATGCTTCCCACCCTCGTACCTTATTTGTTCCTGTTAATCTGTGTTTCAAATGTGGTTGATAATCTGCATGCCAGGCCGATTAATGTGGTTCACCAATCTGCCTTTATTATTCATTCAGCACTGGGCTGGTTGACTTTCTGCCTGTTGTATTTACATCAGAAAGTTCCTTTCTTTATTATCAAAGTAATTTTTAAACATGTCCTTTCTTTTTAAAGTGCTTTTTTTTTTTTTTTTTTGCTACCACCTTTCTGATGAACCCAATCTGTTTCACCCGGTTTTGAATTTTATATAAAGATGGTGCAGTAGTTTACCCTTACTCACGGGGGTACATTCAAAGACCCCCACTGGATGCCTGAAACCGCGGATAGTAGTACTGAGCCCTATCTATGATGTTTTTCCCTCAACATACGAACACCTAATACAGCTCCTCTTTGGCGTATCCAAGTTGCCAGCACCACCTCTGGTGCTCTCTGGAGCCATTATTAAGTAAAATAAGGGTTCCTTGAAGCTCTCGAGATGCCAGGATAGCCGGCCCCGTAGTCAAGGTGACAACTAAGTGACGAAAGGGCAGGTGGCGCGTACGGCATGGGCACCGGGAACAAAGGGATGATTCAAGTTCTGGGTGGTGTGTGGGGGAACAGTGTGCAACTTAAAACTTTTGACTTTCTGGAATTTTTTTCTGGTATTTCTGGAATTTTCCATTTAATATTTTTGGACCAAGTTTGACCGAGGGTAACTGAAACTGTGGAAAGCAAAATTGCAGATAAGGTGGGGGGGGGGGGCGGACCGCTGTGTATCACTTTCATGAGCTGGTATCTACAGAGAGGGTGTTGAAGTTCTTAAAGATGCTGAACTGTAGCTAAAAGTAGCCTTGGGCGTCAGGCACCTCTGTTTTATCTTAGCTCCCATTCTCCGTTGTGTTAGTCAAGAGCCTGCAATGTATAGCTGCCATTTTTGCTAAGAGGGAGCTGCAATAAGATGCAGTTGAAGTTGAAAATCCCAAGGGGCTTCTCGCAGTTCAGTCTTCACCCTCGGTGTGGCATTGCCAGTTGGCATTTCCATACCCTGCTTCTCTTTCCCCCAGAAACCAACAGCATATCCCACTTTTTTTCTTAGCTGCCACTACTTAACCCTATCTCTAAGGGTTCCTCTCCTCCTAAGACTAACTCCCAAAGAGAATGCCAGTTCCCTCCCCCATTCCTCAGAGTCTCCAGCAAGCAGCCAAACCCCACTGCAGTGGGACAGGTAGAACAGAACAAAATAGCATCACGTGGGGAGCATCACAACATTTAGGATTGCTCCCAAAGTCTTCTGTCAAACTGTACAGTACTTTTTTCCAAGACAGGAGTGAAGTGGTTATAAAATTGCTGTTTACTTTAAGGTAGCACGGCAAAGTCACCGCAAGGAAATCAAATGAAAGTCCATGGCACAGCCCTAACGTGTGAACAGTGAAATTTAGGTGTATGTGACATGGTGAGAGCTAAGTGCCATCGGAGGCCACAGGTCTGGCTACACAACCCCAGCTGGGAAGGGCTCACCCCTCAGAACTGTGGCCCAGGGAGGCAGAGCATCTGAGGTACTTGTCACTCCCTCTAGGGGCTGCGTTGGGTTTTCACATGAAGCTTATGGGACGGCATTTTAGTTTGTAGTAGGAGCAAGTTTGAGACATTTGTAGTTTGGCTTCTGTTCATGGCTGCAGGCTTTATTTTCTCCTGTCACTGCTAGGCTCACCTCTAACAGTTCCAGGGCCTGGGGCCTGAGTGCAGGTGGTGGCCTACATACCACACGTCTAAATATTTAAAACTTATAAATCAAGCGAGCGAACTGTTAGGTGAAATATGTTCTATCCTCCCACGTTGACAAATATGCCTTCATAATGACAAAATAAAAAATATAGGCAGAGTTATGGTTTTTATCTGACTGAAAGCCAGGAACTATCAAAAATGACTACTTTAGTTGTTACCGAGCACGTATTGAGCCAAAGATGTTATATGTAATGCGTAGATTGTTATATATTAGTTCCATTAAAATTTTAATGACCTTCATTTCAGCAAAGTGAATACCCATGTTGCTTTACACAAGATTTTTACTTAGTATGTATTTTTTGAACAACAATGCCAAATTAGACAAACTTTCTTGACTCACTGTAATTCTTACTTTGTAAAGTGAATTTTAATTTTGAAAAACTGTGCTTCCCTGAGCCAGTAGCAGCTATAATTCTCAGTGAAATTCCTAAAGCAGTACTTAAATTTGCTAAGAATTTTAGCAAATGAACAAAGAACTTTGTATATCATGTTCAAATAGTAATGGGGTTATGTGGTAAATAATCATTATTGCAGAATATAATTCGAAGTACAATTTCATCATAAAATCAGCATCATGCTTTACACATTATCCTGTATATGTATATGTTTGAGAGTAATGTTAATTGTTTAATGTATTGGTTTTCTAGGGCTGCTGGAATCAACTCCCACAGCTGAATGGCTTAGACAAAAATTTGTCTCCCAGTTCTGGGAGCTAGAAGTGCAAGATCAAGAGTAGGCAGTGTTGGTTCCTCCTGAGGGCAGTGAGGAAGACTTTCCTCTGGTGATTGGCCAGCATTCTTTGCCTTGTAGAAACATCACCGTAATTTCTGCTTCGATACTCACATGGCATTCCCCCTGTCTGAGTTTCTTTGTATCTCCTCTTTTTATGAAGACAACAGTCATATTGTGCTAGGGCCCACCCCAATAACCTCCCTTTAACTTGACTATGTCTGTCAAGACCCTATTTCCAAGTAAGGTCACATTCTGAGATACTGAGTATTAGGACTTCAACATAGGGATTTTGAGGGCGACACAATTCCACCTGTAACAATATTGCAAGATTTTTCTCAGCCATGTGAAATGCTTGCAAATATTGCTCTAATGTCTGAGAACCTTAAAGCACTCATTGCAGTATAAAGAAAAACAGGAAAATGGGTGCTTGGTAATATTGGGAATGATTCTTCATTGTGTAAGAATCTGTTGCAGCCCTGGCCACATCATTCAATTCATTGGAGCATTCCCTGTGCACCAAAAGGCTGTGAGTTTCATCCCAGGTCAGGGCACTTACCTAGGTTGCAGGGTCGATCCCTGATCAGGACACATACAAGAGGCAACCAATCGATGTTTCTCTCTTACATTGACATCTCTCTCTCCCCCCACCTTCCTCTCTGTCTAAAATCAATAAACATATTCACAGGGGAGGATTATTTTTTGAAAAAGACTATTACATTCCAACTGGGAGGAAGAATTGGAAAACTGATGAACTCACTTTTTCTCTAGCCAAAGTGCGTTTGCCCCCTCTGTCCTTCCTGCAATCCAGCAGCATCCATCTCCTCCGCTGGCAGTGGCACAAGACACACTCCCTCACGGTGCACGTTCTCCATGGGCTTGTTACGCTGCCACAGGGCAGGAGATGTAGGGAAGTGCGGCCTGGGGCCAGGAGAGTGTCGTCCCAGCAGCGGGTGGGAGAGGTTCTGTGTGTACTGTGCCCACACTGAGTGCCGGGGCCTCCTTACCCTCATGAAATGATTCCCCTTGTGCTCTTTGTATGTGGGCTCAGGGCAAGAGTTCAAGTTCTTTTTCTTTCTCCTCCTCTTCCCTCTTCTCACTCTTTTATTTGCTTCCTCTTCTTTCTCCTCCTCTTTCTCTTCTACAGTTTTACTGAGATATAGCTCACATAGCACAAAATTCTCTGTTTGAAGTATAAAACTCGGTGTTTTTT